AAAAATCTCTTGATAGACTTGACTGCGAGGGACTGACATTAAAGCCAAGCAACATAGTAGTAAGGGCTTTTGACGGCTCGAAAAGGATGGTGCATGGGGAAGTGGATATCCCCATAAAGGTTGGAACCCAAACTTTCAATTCAACCTTTTATGTAATGGACATTCTCCCTTCATACTCCTGCTTGCTAGGCCAACCATGGATCCACAATGTTGGCGCTGTTACTTCTACGTTGCACCAAATGCTGAAGTATCCAATTCAAGGGATGATTATCACCGTTCATGGAGAGGAAGAGTACATGATTAGCCATCTCAACTCCTTCAGATATGTGGAATTAGATGGTGAATTTATTGAAACTCCATTTCAACACTTTGAAGAAGTTCCGCAAGATGTGGCAGTAATCAAGGCTGTGTCTCAGGTTCCCAAGATCACAAGGCCTCCACTCCAGATGTCATATTTGAAGGATGCCAAAGCAGTGGTAGAAGAAGGTGGGTGCACTATCTAGGAACAACTCCCATATATCCCATATAAGTCTGACAAGTTTGGCCTAGGTTTCACTTCAAGTGCTCAGAAGGTTGTACGACGTGCTCGTGCCGGAGGACCACCCCTGAAGATCAGCAACCGCGAGGTCAACGCCGTAGAAGGAGATAAAGATAGGTGTGACTTGGAGGATTGGATATTCCCGACTGTTAGTGGAGGGCTCAAAAATTGGGAGGCTAGAGACCTTGTCCCAATCACTTTTATCCCACAGTAATTTGTCTTTACATTTTGTTGGATCTGTAATATTAGAATAATTCACACTCTTAAAACCTTGTGTCTTACCCGAGGCACGATGGTCCATTTGTAAGGGTTATTATCTCATTTTCATATGACATCAATGAATCATGGACTTTTTCGCATACAAACTTTTACGCTCATTGTTTTTCTTTTACATTTTTATTTTCTTTCAAAGATAGTTATACCCTTACACACACTCACACTCACAATGCAGGTATACATCCATTCGGGATCCCATGGATAACGATACTGCTATGGCCTTTTGTGACTCTGAGAATCTAATCTACCAAGCCAAAGACGAAGGTGAGGAAGATTGTGAAGTACCAGTAGAACTTGCCAGACTACTACAACAAGAAGAGAGAACCATTAAGCCTCACAAAGAACCTGTGGATACAATCAACCTAGGTACCGAAGAAGACAAAAAAGAGGTCAAGATGGGTTCCAATCTGGAACCCAGTGTCAAGGAGCGTTTGATTCAGTTATTACACGATTATGTTGAAGTCTTTGCATGGTCGTATGAAGACAAGCCGGGACTTGATGAAGACATTGTGGTACATCGTCTGCCTACAAGAGAAGATTACCCTAGAGGTGCGTGTGTGAAAAGTGATTCATTTTAGTTACTTTATATTTGATTAGGGTTTTCTACATTTACTTTTATGTCTTGCCATACACGCCTATTAAACTAAACAGTTATAAGGAAAGCAGTAAATTGCAGAAAGAAAAGGTGCGGAAAATAAACCTAAACTATTACAAGGCTTCGAGAAAGGAGGTACAAAACAATAAAACGGGGGAAAAAAGGTAAATCCTAATTAACTATTACAAACCATAGCAGTTACATAATCGGGAAAATTAATGCGAAAGTAAACATGCGAAGATGGCAAAATAAAGAGAAAAAGAAAATTTAAAAATTGTTTTGTAATCGCTTGACGAAAAAGTTTTGATGATCATCCTAAAGTCTAATTGATTTTAATTAATCGAAAAAGCTAGGTAATTAATCGAAACTAATTATCCTAATTAATTTAATAAATAAATAAAATCAAAATTAATTTATTAGAAAGAAATTAAACCAAATTTGTTTTAATATTGATTAAAGAAAAGTAATTAAGGTTATTAAGAAATTAGGGTTAGCAAAAAAAGAGAAAAAATATGGTTAGTAAAAAAAGAGAAAAAAAGAACGCTGGAGGTGAGTGTTGAACTCATGACCCCTGCCTCTCTAGTATGCACGCCTAAAAACTGAGCTACGTGCACTTGGTGCTAGGATAAGCATCCAGCGCGTTTTGTATAAAACCTGCAAAAATATGAAATATTAGAGAAACAAAGTGTCAAAAAGCTGCATCGAACCCAAGCCATTTGATACTAATGCCTTATCGCGCACGCTTCTACCGTTGGGGCGGCTATACATACATTGATATAACTCAAACGATAAATATATATTATATAAATGAATATATTGACCGGAGAAGCGCAAGAGCCCTAGCTTCAGTCGTCTTCTCTGACGACTCTCTTTTATTCAATCTGTAAAATAAGCAAAGTTAGTAATCAAAAACATCCTACTCCCCTTAAATCAAGGGATGTGAATCCAATGACAATGCTATTTTTATCTAAAAATCCATGGTTTGGCCGCTATAATGCAAATGGTACAGATCGGAGCAAACATGATATCCTATGGTTCTGACTGCATAGGGTCATTATAATGATCTAAACCTGTTCAGAGACATCTCAGGAGTGCGTTAGTAGCATTAGTATGGCATAAAACAAAACAAAAATTACAATATTAAATTTGCAAAGTTTATGAAATCGGAGATGCATGTATGGTGTTTTCATGAGCTTTTGAACATCAATATCGATCCAACCTTACTTTGTATGGTGGCTAGGAGTGAATGAGATATCTGTTTTGCAGTGAGAGGATTGGTAATAAGGATTTCAAGATTTAGGATTCTTGAAAAAAAGTTTGCTATTTTTTGAAAATATTGAGAGGAAAGGGTTTTGTGTGTTAGGATTCTCCCTTGATGTCTGAATTAATATGAATATATAGAGAAAATTAGGGTAAAGATATGATGGGCTTGGACTCGTGTAATAAAAAATGATTTTATCTTATTTTATTTTAATTTTAAATTAATAAAAATAAAAAATAAAAACCAAGGGGTGTATGAATGAGTTATAAGGTGTATACGGAGTATAGAGTACTTTTGGACTCTTAAACTATGGCCCAATAGCCCAAAATATCAAGGTTGCTCAATTTGAACTTCATGCATTTGTCCAAAATTTCCTAACTTGCAATGGTCATAACTTGCTCAATTTTTATCTTTTGAAGGTGATCTATGACTTTTTGGAAAGCTTAAAATGTCCTCTACAACCTCTATGATGATCATTTTTGCTTTTAAAGACTTTATCTTGATGTAAGTTGCCTTGACAAAAAGTATCTTTTTGTTGACCTTTGAAATGACCTGTAATGTATTGGCTTATATCTCTCAAATGATGCATTTTTTTACTTGAGCTTAGAGCGACAAGTTTTTAGAGAATTGAATTCCCTTCAAAATGGGATTTGGTTGGGGAAAAGCTGATGAAGCATGTGAAAGTTATGTTTGGTCAAAGTTCAGTTGACTTCTCCTAAAGAAATTCTAATTTGACAACTTTTGACTTTTGATGATTCGAGGGTTTTTCTTTAGGAATCATGATCAACCTTTGATCAAATGATGGATATCACTTTAAAATATTGATGTTGACCAAAAATCTTGAAGTTTGACTGTGTGTTGACCACAGTTGACTTTTTACCTAATACAATTGATTTTCAATCATCTGAGTCAACAATAATTTTTTAAGGTACAACAATAATTTTTTTTTAAAATGTGTGTATTCAATGTACTCCTTCTGATCTCATTTATAAAAAAGAATTTACTTTTTAAATATATTAAATAAATAATATATTTAGACAATATATTATTCAAATACATTTTTTATTCAATATATCTAAAAAATAATTTTTTTCTTATTTATAAATATTTGAGATAGTATTAAAATGATTAACTCTTAAAATAATATTTTCTTTATACTAATTTTCCTTATATCTATCTTCTTACCTCTCTTTTCTTTTAATGTTAGACTTTTATTTGGTCCGATCTATTAAAAGTATGATTGGGCAACTTTTTAATCTTAGGGTTGTGGTCCAATATTTGAATAGTGGATTATTGTTAATATTTATTTTTATTTTTGTTATGAGTGTTTTAATAATTCAATCCTAGTGTTTATTTTTTCTCTTGCTAATAAAACAATATATATTTGCATGATCTTAAATAGAAAAACAAGAATAAAAGAGTGAAGTTTAATATTTGAACTATTTAGTAGGGGAATCTAATCATGAAAATGAATTGGGCTCTTTTTCCCTTTTGAAAGTGTGAAAAATAATTGTTATTAATAGGTTTTATAATTATATTATTATACTTTAAAAGATTAAAAGATTGTGGTAATTATGATTTTAAATTTTAGTTCGCAGCCAAAGTTACAACCACAATATCGTTTGAACCTTAGTATCTACAACCGTATCAAATCATAATGCATTACAGATTAAAATTCAAAATTTCATAACTCAAACTTAATTTAGTTTCTTTGTAATTAAAAATCTTAACATAAAATATGTTTAACAATATATTTCACACATTTCAATTAAAATTTATGGTGCAACTCGATCACAATATACATCGCAACAATTGCAATGATTGCAACCGCAACACTCACTACCACTTGTTACCGCAATTTTACTTGCTTTTTCATCTTTTCCGGTTGGCTAGGCTAGCGGTTGTGTAAAAACGTTGTTATTATACTATTATCAGAAAACCCAAAAAAAGAAAGAACAGAGTTGCATGCCAACTTCAGTTGTGACAATTACAACAAACCCTTAATTAGGCTTCAAAATAGAAACAACTCTTTTCGTCTGTGTTTGGTTTAATAGCATTCTTTTGCTAGCAACAATGTTTGGTTCTCCACGTGTCATGCAAAAACCAACATTTATAGCATGTTACACAGACAACCTTTGTTATGCTGTTATCATCTTCTACGCAACACCATGAACATACACCTGTCATGGCCTTCTTTTTCTCTTCTATAGAGTTTCCTATCAAACCCTTTCTTTTTCTCTTCACATTGTAGGGTTTGCATGAAATTTATATTCTTTCTATAGGGATTAATAAAAAAAGTGTTACTATTAATTTGAATCTAGCTAGCGTAGATGTCTTCACATTGGTGTCACAGGTGCAACAAATTTGTTAGCGTATGGAGGCTAGGGATGCCGATATGTTCCGATTGCGACAGTGGATTTGTGGAAGAGCTCGAATATCCAGCACATTCTCTTCATGCAGACGGTGTTCGTTCGAGGAGGTTACCTATGACGGCGGCCATGTACATGATGGGCCACCATAATAATAATTCAAATCAAAATCAAACTCCTCGTCGACGTTACTGCAGAAACAATATTCATGGCGGGGAACTTTCTACGTTTAACCCAATCATTATGATCCGCGGTGGTGGAACCTCGGAAGGAACGAGCCGCGAGGGTGAAGAAAATCGCAGGTATGAGCTTTTCTACGAAGAGGGACCCGGTACCGGTCTCCGGCCATTGCCTCCAAGAATGTCTGAGACTCTTCTTGGACCTGGATTTGAAAGGGTGATGGAACAACTCTCTCATGTTGAAGCTAATCGTAATGGGAGCGAGACGAATAGCCGCAAACCATTACCGGCGGCAATATCAACGGTAGAATCGTTACCATCTATCGAAATAAATGATAATCACGTCGAGATAGAATTACAATGCGCTGTTTGCAAAGATCATTTCGAACGGGGAGTTATAGCCCGAGAAATGCCATGCAAACATATATACCATAATGAATGCATACTTCCATGGCTCGAGATTCGCAATTCTTGCCCTATTTGTCGCCATGAACTCCCATGTGAACTACCACAAAATACTAATAATGAACAAGAGAATGTTGGAATAACAATTTGGAGGTTACCGGGCGGTGGATTGGCGGTCGGAAGATTTATGGGTGGAAGTCGAGAGAATAACGAGGGAGAGCTTCCTATTGTTTACACAGAATTGGATGGTGGGTTCAATAGTGTTGGTGAACCAAGGAGGATTTCATGGTCAATGAGTACTACTTCAAATGGAGGAGGGAGGGGGAGGAGTAATATTGGGGGTGGAATTAGAAGAATGTTGAACAATTTGTTTGGATGTTTGGGAGGTGGTGATGGGAGTAGTAATCAACAAGGTTCAATTTCTACTACAAGAGAGTTTTCTGAAACTATGAACACAAGGAATAATAATAATAATAATAATAATAATAATAATAATGCATCTCGTAACAATGTGAATGCTTCTACAAGAGCTCGAAGAACTTGGTCTATGGATGTAAATAATGGTGGAATTAGACCATGGTAATTTGGTAAGGTAAACTATAACTAAAAAGTACAAATCATTTCAAGTTTGTTTATTGCTTTATCATATTGGGATAGATAATGGAAGATAATGAGATTATGAGTGGAAAAAGATGCAATGTGATGTTGAAAAATGGGAAGAATTGTGTAATGTGCGATGTCAACTTTAATTATGGTGTAATTAATTAGTTGTATTGAAAGGAAACAAATCTTATTATCTCATTAAAGCCTTTGTGTATTTGTGTATGTTTTGGGAAAGATCATATAATACTTTGTCGTAGTTTAATAATAACATTGAAATTTTAATATTTTTTAATGATAAATAATTAGTATTGGAATAAATTCTTAACCTCAAAGTCCTTTAACCCATAACTCAATTAGTTGAAATAAGTTGTACTAACCATTTCACTTCGATGAAATTTTAATTTTGTATCTTACTAATCACTATAAAATTATTTATTTCTCATTGTGTATTATTATTGTAAAAAAATATTGATACTTTATTTAATTATTTATCTTTTGGTATGTTTAATTGTTAATAAAAAATTGGAGTGTGTATGGTTGATTATTTTTATAAATTAAATTATAATTATTTTCAAACTCTTTAAATCATTTAATTTTACAATTATAGCCACATTTCAATCAAAAATGGCTATTAAATCAGTTATAAATTTAGTTATAATTATATAATTTATTATTTTTTCTTAAAATTCAGTTTTAAAATTTTTTTATATAAAAAAGTATTTTTAAATTAATTATTTATAAATTTGAAAAAAATAAATTAATTTAAAATTAAAATCGTAATTATTTCATAAAATTGATTATTATTTATTTTAAATATATTATCTGAAAAAATTTATTTTTTCTGTATTTTTTTCAAATAAGAAAATCGAAAAATAATGAAAATTTTTATTTTGGAAAATAAAAGAAATAATATTTTTGTTTTGAAAATAATATACTATATATATAATTTCGAAATAATAAAAAAAATTGAAATTTTTAAAAAAGTGAAAATAATATATAAAAAGAAATTTCTTCAGAAAATACAAAAATCAAACATGAAAATTTTTTTTTGAAAATTAAAAAAAAAATTGAACTAAAACATTTGGATTTTAGAAACAGATTATAATCAAATCTAAAAATAATTTAACTGATTAATAATATTTAATTATATATGGATTATAATAACTAAACCGATTAATAATCTGATCTTGCGGTTGATCCGAATCTGGAGAGTGGCCGGAGGATGATCTTCAGTCGGACTGAGGAGAGAGTGGGTTGTACCTGCAAGGTACTCCAACGATCAAGTAAGAGTGGGAGCAAGAAGGTACTAGCAAAATATCAGGTAGTGAGTAGTGAATATATGATACCTGGTCCTCACAGGTGTGAGGATTTATATAATGCCTCTAGCACGTGGCCATTAGTTCCAGATTTTCTGCCTAGATATGCGGGTTCGGAAAATCAGGTAACTTCCAGGACTTGGTCAAACTGGGAAGATGTGCTCGTAACTAGCCGTTGATTCCAGGGAGGAGGCTGGTTGCGGGTATTTCTCTGGTCGGTCCCTGGTGGCCTGCACGACGCTGGTGTCGGGCAGGCTGAGAAGACGCTCCACGAGCGTCTTGGATCGGAGTTGGACCAGAAGGGCAAGAGGGTGATATTTCCCGACAAGTACGGGCAGTCTAGGTCACGGTCAGTGGGTGGCACCTATGAGATGTTTTAGATCGGGCCCACTCAAGCTTTCGGGCCAGTCCAGAACAGTAGCCCCCTAAGTCGTTGCTTCTGGGCACATGAGTGAAGACTTTGATGTCTTCTCGAAGGACGGCGAAATGAGTGTTTGCCTGTTATACTTCTCTGTTGGGGAGGCGAAACGTTTTCCGTTGGAACCTTGGAATTTGGAGAGGTAGCGTGTTTTGGGAAATGTGTCGGTCGAGCGGCACGAATGATGGCCTAGGGCTAGGGTGTCATAATGACGACCTTGGGGTTCCCAAGGCGCGTGTTTGGTACGCGCGGGTTGTTTCAGTTATAAATACGAGAGGAACAGGGCGATTAGTATTTTCCGCCTTCTCCATCAACTGCCTGTATTAGCTCGACAGTCGACCACTGACATTTGCTCAGTTTCTTCGTTCGCGGTCATCCAGCTTCATCCCTTCTTCTAACGGTGAGTTTCCGTTCATCCATTGTTGCATGTCTTAGTGTTTTCATTTTTTGCCTTTAGATATGTATGCAGTTAGGATTTAGGGTTCCGTTAGGGAGGAGGTCGTTAGAGACTCTAGGTGACAGATGTTGTTCATGTGGCGCATGGCTGTTGGAGCCGCCGCAGGGCTTCCTCATGGGCCTGGCGTTGTGTGATATGTGATTTGTTAGGGTTTAAGATTTTCTGCAATTTGTGCCCGTTCGAATACCTTAGGGGATTTCTGGGATTTTTCTATGATTCCAACCCGTTAGTGTGCCTTAGTGAGGGATTAGGACTTTCTCTCGCGTTTTGTGCCCGTCAGCGTATCTCAGCACTAGAGGCGCCGTCAACGAAAATCGTCCAGCGGCGCGAGCCTTCCGAATCTCCGGGCGAGGTTATTTTCTCTTTGAAGTCGGCCAGGGCTTAAGCCTTAAGGGCTTTCCTACTTTCGTATTGGATATCGAATTCATATATTTTCAGGGACCATTTCAGCATTCTACCGGCCATGTTTGGCCTTCCAAGTAACTATTTTATTGGTTGATCTGTCCAGACCACTATGGTATGGGACAAGAAGTTGTGTCTTAGCCTTCTCGCAGCGTTAACGAGGGTCAGGGCTACTTTCTCGATTTGTTGATATCTTTCTTCCGGGCCTTGTGTAGCGGTAGAAATATTTAAGACTAAGTCATTGGGTTGACTTGACTTATATAAATTAACATAAAAATCGCCACCGCGCTTTATTGTTTCCAAAGGAATGGGAAAAGAGCGAATAACCCAAAAAAAGAGTGGGAAAGATTCAAGGTAAGGGGGTTGGTTATGCAAAGGGAAGGTATTAGCACCCTAAACATCTACGGTACTCCGCAGGAACCTCTTTATAAAAATCTGTATATTTTGGCTATAAAATGTTGTATGTAAAATAGATGGTGGAGGTGAGAAAAGAAGTATATATTTTTTATAATTTTTACACCCGCTGCGGTTGCGAACCTTTAGTGCCTACGTATCACCTTTTGTGCAATAGGGGATCATGGTACATGTAGTTCACCTTAAAAAAATTTAAAATATAATTGTGTTGGTTGATTTTATGAGATAAGACATCATCGTCATTGTCTGTGTGGAAAACATACTTACTACCCACAATTATGAGAAATGAGAATTTGTATCATCTCAAAGTGGAGGATATGGCTTGGATTTTAAAATCCACAATGCCTCACTCAACACCCAAGTGGAAAATATCTCTTCTTTACTACATATTATAGAAGTATAGTTGTTTGCATCACTACAAGGATTAACAAGAGTCTAATCTTTTGAGAAAGGTTTTAAAATAAAAAGCCAAAGTGGCAAAATGGTTTGAAATGAGATTGATTGAATTTTAGTCTTCTCACAAAAAATGTCAAAGTATTATTAAGTTGATTGAAGTTTATTTATGAAAAGGTTTTGAAAATGCATGGACCTAAGTCCAAGTTTATTATGAAAGTGGTTCAAGTTAAAAAAAAACAAGAAGAATTTTCAAAAGGAGAGAGAAGATTTTTGAAATTAAAGAAGATGGGAGGAGAAGAAGAGACTATCCTAAAGCATAAGATAAAAGCTATGGATATGAACCATCTAACCAACAAGAAGTCAATTCTTGACATTATGAGTCAAGATAGAATTCTCATTCTTTGGATTGAAACCAAGTAAGCAAAGATACTAGACCTCTTGAGAGAACCAAACTCCAAGTGTATTAAGTCTTCACAAAAATTGGGCAGAGTAACGGCTGTATACGAGTGAATTCCAGACTACAAACAAAGTATGTAATCACAATAACCCGCATACAAAGCAAACAAACAACTCAATGTCTTGAGGTAAACCTCAAGAACTCCAGACAAAATATCAATTAAGGTAACAAGGTCTCCAACATAGGCCAAGGTCTCTAACACTAAGTCCAAAAAGTTCAATACTCCATGATGCTAAGGATAGTAACCAAATAGTCCAAGTATCATTAAATTTTTTTAGGGTTTATGTTGAATATTAAGTGTCTTCAAAAAGAAAAGAAAAGCTCAAGCGAGCAAAATAAAAATGATATAAAGTAAATGCTCAAGTGAGCAAAGATGAAAATAACATGAAATGTAAATGCAAAAGGTAAATTGTACATAAAGTAAAGGGCATAAAATAAAAGCACAAAATAAAGTTAATTATTAGAAATTAGTGGTTAGTTGGATGACCATCTTGAAATTTGCATTTGGAATTCATTAGAGGATTGGTAGAATCAAAGCCTCCACACAACAAGTTGCATTTGCTTTTTGTCAAGTATATCATCCATTTTGGAATCTTCAAAAATACCATTTAATGATCAACGATGTTTAAGTGATCAGCGTTGACCAAAAGTGTTGTAGATCCATTAGAGGATTGGTAAGACCAAAGCCTTCACACAATGAATCTCAAGATTATTGAATCAAAGAGATCAAATTAATATACTTGGACTTGCAAACATAGGTTTGGGCCACGAATGATCATTTATTCGAATCGAGACAAAATTTAGCGTTATGTTAAACAATCGTAAGTGGACTTATATAGAAGTCACACCTATTTTGAGGCCGGTCAATAGCAATTTATGCACCATTTGTTTTGAGACATGATATAGAGATCATGCTTCAATAACACTTAGTGCAATAAGAAAGGGATGAGATGAAGAGGGGTGGGAGAGAACATACAAACCACTTTTGAATTAAATTTAAATCAAACTATTATTAAAATCATTCATCCATTTTTGTGGAGTTAGACTCAACACCATGGATCCAATGATGTTAACAAAGTTCATGACCAAAAATTCAATCCAAGATCAGTCAGAAAATAAT